CACCAGAGAACTCACTCCGGGGCACCCAGCCCCCGTCTGCCGAAGAGAGGCCCCCTGAGCCCGAACCTGCGGCCGCGGAAGCCCCGGCGCCACCTTTATCGCCCGCTCCGGAGGTCAGGCCTCCCGAGGCCCCAGCACAGCAACCCAGACGCTCAGCAAGGGTACGTCAGCCTCCAGCGTACCTGAAAGACTATGTTTCATAGGGCAAGGTCCGGACTATGGGGGGAGGGGTGTAGTGTCCGCTGACCGCCACCGGAGGCCAGCGCATATGCCCTAGCTTCAGTCCGAACAACAATGGGGACTAGGATCCTAGTCCCTCCTCTGGGGAACCAATGGGATCCGTGGCGGGAGATTTGAACCCACCAATGGTGACCAGGGGCGGTCCCCAGGTGTGTATATAGTTGGCCTGCCGGCCGTTTATCCTCATGTCTTGTTGTGTGCTAATAAAGCGTGCTATGCACCACGTCGTTGTCTGTCGTTCATCCATGCGGCTACCCACTACATAACAGTGTCATCAGCATACTGGTTGCAACCCAGGCAGAACCCCCGGACCAACTGGGAGAGGGGGCGCATGTAGATGTTGAACAACATTGGCAAGAGTGTTGCCCCCTGTGGCACTCCACATTCCAATGGGTATTGCAGGGAGACCCTCTTGACAAGTGCCACCCTCAGTCCCCGATTATGGGGAAAGGAGGGAAACCACTGTTAGACAGTCCCCTGTAATCCTACGTCGGTGAGGCGGTGGGTCATAAGACTGTAATCCCCTGTGTCGGATGCTGCCCTTAGGTACAAAAGCAAGAGCAGTTCTGACCCGCCCCGATCCAGGTGGTTCCAGAAGTCATCCGTGAGGGTGACCAACACCTTCTCCATCCGATGGCCAGAGCGGTAACCGGACTGGAATGGGTCCAGGATGGATCTGTCATCCAAGAAAACTTGAAACTGCTCAACTACTACCCTCTCAACTACCTTGCCCAGAAATCTGAGATTTGAGACTGGGTGGTGGTTGGTGGGGGAAGGAAGTTGGTAGAGTGGACATCTTATTGTCCTGGAATGTTAACTTGCACTTTCTCACTGTGCCTTATCTGGTAGCCTGACCTTGATGCTTTGCGCTTTCACCGCCCTTGGAACTTGTGGTTGTTACTTTGAGTGTGCAAGGCTTGCACCTCTGATTGGCTTGCTCCCATCAGAGGGTCTTGCTTCAAACACAGTATATCTTCCCTGTTTCTGCCCGTGGGGTTAGCATTTACAGAGAAACTATATGCAAAGATGACCTGCTTCTACTGAACTCAAAAAATTTGATCCTTCTGGAAGGAACGTTGTTGAGCCCATTTGTTGTGGACTTTGACACTAGGACCGCAGGGTCTGGTGATGGTTTTTTCAAGAGTGGAGCTACCACCTTTGACTCAACATACCACTGGACGTACTTTTGTGTTTCTCATAACAGTACAAATGCCCATTGCTAGGGACAAATCCTGCCACGTACCTGCCCTTCTGAAATGGTAATAGGTCTCGCAGTGACTACACTGAAGAGTGTTGTTGTTGAGACAAAGAATGATGTGAGACCAGCAGGTTGCTATGTGATCCAGAATGCACCCAAACCCTCCATCAAGAACTCATTTTCCATGTAGAACAAAGTTTGATTCAGTTTCCATCACAACCCTATGCAGAGTCACCCAGACTAGCCCCATTGAAATAACTGGTTTTAGACTGCTGTAACTTTGCAGGATTGTACCAACAGTCCTCCCTTGTTTTTCCTCCATTAAGGGTTTCAGAAGCAAAGACATGGAGGGAACAAACAACAAATTATTAATAGACCCAAAGGGAGCACAACAGCCCCTGTGGAATACAACTGAAGTCTTTATTATCATCCTGAATCTTCAAAGCTTTGTGATCAGATGGTGAAGAAACCACTCACCATGCTGTCAGTCTTCTAATCCTGAGAGTAGTTGGCAAGCAGCCGGGCTGTGTTGGCCCTCATTTCAGAAGGCATTCAACATTCCTGGCAGAAACAGACACCAAAGTAACTTACAAACTAGGATTCAATTATTATGCTTTGTACGTTATGCTGCGGTGGCTCAAGTGGTTAAGACGCTGAACTGCAGGCTGTGGAAGGTCGGTAGTTCAGCAGTTCGAGACCCGAGTGTGCCGCATGATGGGGTGAGCTCCCGTCTCTAGTTCCAGCTCCTGCCAACCTAGCAGTTCAAAAGCGAGAAATTGCAAGTAGATAAATAGGTACCACTTCAGTGGGAAGGGAACAGCGTTCCGCGCGCCTTGGTGTTTAGTCATGCCGCCCACATGACCACGGAAATGTCTTCGGGCAGCACTGGCTCTTCGGCTTTGAAATGGAGATGATCACTGCACCCCTAGAGTCGGATTCGACTGGCTCTCGAGCAAAGGAACCTTTACCTTTACGTATCTCAAAGGCCCTTGGGCATGTTTAATACAAGGAAGGCCCTTCCCTTAAATGACTGGGAAGCTGTGGCGAGTCAGACTACAGAATATTTGCCTGATTCAGCCTAAAGCAGCTCTTCTCTCGACCACATTTTCGAGGTTAGCTCTGTTGGACTGCTGTACGGTTAGGATTAGGTTAAGGTTAGGCTCAGGGTTACCGTTTCTAGCTCTCTCAATCTTAGAGGCCAGAATTTCCTTGGCAAAGGTGGCCGTCATGTCTTCCATCTCTCCTTACAGAGACTCTTATCTCCAGCAGTGGGAAAGGAAGCAGCATGCTCCGGATCAGTAAGACATACCACTTCTATGTATTTTGGGGTGTGTCATTAATTCCAGAGGGTCTTCAAGTCATGATTGTTGTCTTAAAACTAGGAAACACAGTTCTCATAGCAGAGGAAGAAAGCACTGGGCATTTCGGCTACCTCAGATAGGTCTTTCAGCGTAGCAAAGACCTCATTGGATCTTGTAGGACAGATGACATGGGTTTTGCCTGGGAGGGCCAGGTAAGGAGATACCTCAGTGGTAGGGTACCATTGTTGCACTGAGAAGATCTATGGCATCTCCAGTTAAGGGACCTCAGGAAGCAAGTACTGGAAAAGATCTCTAGTTTGACTTCTCAGAACTGAGAAAAAGGAGACAAACCTGATTCAGAACAGAGCTAATTCTTATTATTCTTATTATTTAAATTTATAACCCGCCTTCCCCGTGAACGGGCTCAGGGCGGCGTACAGATGTTTATGCCTCTGAGTTCAGGAATCACTGAGAGTCTAGTGAGTTTCCTCATGACCTCGGAAAACCTGGCATAAAAAACCCCACCCATTCTTAATCTCATCTGGCCATTGTAGTTTATTACTCAAACCAGTGACATGAACATCTCTGTCTTGGATATCAAGGAACACCTGGGGAAAGCACGAAGGTAAGGTTATACTCAATAGGTGGGGGATTGGTTTGCATGGGATGGGGAAGGTTGGGATACCTCACTCCCTGATGTCTGTGTGAATGCATGATCGGGAGTGCTGTTTGAAGTTACAGTTCATGTTAATTGGATGGCAGTGCTACAGGTGAATTAAGTGGACATCGGTGAAGGCAGTTTTCTTGGTCTGCAGTAAAACATCTGGATTCAAGCCCAGTAGCTCCTTAGACCAGATCCTGGGGCTGTGGTTAAGACAATTTTCCCTGTCTTTCCTGTCTCTCTCCTTACTAATGTTTACAGGGCTTTTTTTGTAGAAAAAGCCCAGCAGGAACTTATTAGCATAATAATGCCTGTTAGCATAATAATGCCTGTTAGCTGCCCTGAGCCTTCGGGGAGGGCGGGATAGAAATGTGAATAATAAATAAATAAATAAATAATAGGCCACGCCCAACAGCAGAAACCCATTAGCATATTAGGCCACACCCCTGACAGCACATCACCTTAACATATCAGGCCACACCCCCATGTTGCCAGAAGTGTGCTCATCCAGCCACACCCACCTTTTGCTTCTTATTTTGTTTACCTTGTCAAAACCCAGGGCTTTTTTTTGTAGCAGGGACCCTTTGCATGTTAGGCCAGACACCCCAATGCAGCCAATCCTAATGCGTTTCTGCTGTTGGGTGTGGCCTGTTATGTTAATGAGTTCCTGCTGGGTGTGGCCAACTTGGAAGCCAGCCAGAACTCCGTTCATTCCTGCCCCAAAATAGCCCTGAATGTTTACATGATGGTGTCTCCCTGTTTCTGAGTGCCCGAAGACAGAGATTAAATTTAGCAAGGACTGATGGCCATGGGAGAAACAGGACTGAGGGAAACCATGATATTTTTGCATACTTGAAAACTCAACCATGGTTAAGGCAGTAAACGGTGGCTTTCAAGAACTGTACTCATATATTCATTTATTTACTTCACTTACGGGGACTCAAAGCTGCCTTTCATGGTTCTCCTCGCCTCCATTTAAGGACCCTGTGAGGTAACGTAGCCTGAGAGGATGTGACTGATGCAAGTTCACCTAGTAACTTTCCATGCCAGAGTGGGGACTTGAACTTGGGTCTCAAAGATCTCAGCCCAACACTCAAAATGACTATACCAGGCTGCCTGTCAGCATCATTAAATTTGTTGAGCTTCCTTTGTGCTTCCTTGAGTTTGGCAGGGACAAAACAGTGTCTTTTTTATTCAATTGACCTAATCGCAAGAAATGCCACATTCTCTCTCCGCTGCCCGTATTTCTGCAGGAAGGAGACCATGATGGACATTGAGAACCTCACCTCAGTCACCGAATTCATCTTTGTGGGACTCTCCAGTCAACGAAAGACTCAGCTTCTACTCTTCGTCGCCATCCTGCTCACCTACTCACTTACCATCATGGGCAACCTGGCGGTCATCCTGCTGGTGTGGTTTGACACCCGCCTCCAAACGCCCATGTACTACTTCCTCATGCACCTCTCCGGCCTAGAGATCTGCTACGTCACCAGCACGGAGCCACAGATGCTGGCTCACCTCCTGGCGGGGAACGGAGTCATCTCCTACACCCGTTGCGTGGCCCAGATATTTGTCGCCTTGTCTTTGGGTGCTGCTGAATGCTTTCTGCTGGGTGTCATGGCCTATGACCGTTACCTGGCCATTTGCCGACCTCTGCTGTATCCTGTTGCCATGGACAGGTGGCGTCAGGTGCACCTTGCATCCAGTTGCTGGGCAACGGGCTTCCTTTTCGGTGCAATATACGTGGGGTGCACCTTTCGTCACTCCTACTGTGGGCCCAACCGTATCAATCACTTCATGTGTGAGTTGCCGGTGGTGCTGAAACTTGCCTGTGATGACACCCACGTCACTCAGGCCATTGTGTTTCTAATGGCAGGGCTGGTCCTCATCATTCCTATTTCTGTTGTTCTGACCTCCTATGCGGTCATTCTGTTCTCCGTATTACAAATACGGTTCGCTACTGGATGGCGCAAAGCCTTTTCCACATGTGCTTCCCACCTCATGGTAGTGACTGTGTTCTATGGAACGGTCATTTCTATGTACCTGATTCCCCGATCAACGACTTTCTCGGACCGCGACAAAAATATTGCCTTGTTTTATGTGGTGGTCACCCCTTTCCTCAACCCGATCATTTACACCCTGCGGAACAAGGACGTGCATGAGGCCGTGGCCAGAGCGCTGCGAAGAGGTGGGTTTGAGCCAAAATGAGTATTAGCTGGAGGAGAATGGAGCTTCTACAAGACTACATCTGCTTGGTGTAGTGGTTTGGTGTAGCCAGTTTGGTGTAGTGGTTAAGTGTGCGGACTCTAATCTGGGAGAACCGGGTTTGATTCCCCACTCCTCCACTCGCACCTGCTGATGTGACCTTGGGTCAGTCACAAGCTCTGGCACAGGTGTCCTTGAAAAAGAGCAGTTTGTGTCAGAGCTCTCTCTCAGACCCACCCACCTCCCAGGGTGTCTGTTGTGGGGAGGGGAAGGGAAAGGAGTTTGTAAGCCGCTCTGAGACACCTTTGGGTAGTGAAGGGCGGGGTATAAATCCAATATCCTCTTCTTCTTATTCTTCCATACATATAGTAGAATCAGGTGGGAATGCATTCGAACACTGAAGCGATGACATGGATTGTAACATTTCACACATCAGATAGCGGATGGATTTTCTTTTTTAAAAAATACAAGCATCGTGGGAAGAAGTGTTTAGATGGAATAGCTGTTGAGTTATAGGGATTTTCATTTTGTATGGAATAACTAAAAACTGTATGTACATTTGCCGTTTGGACTGCTGTTGCCTCTGCAGAAACAGAAATCTACAGGTGACCAGTGAGCTGGTGCAAGGGGTAGACATTTAATTTACAGGGAAATTTCCTCGTTGGGCCACAGTGGGCTAGAAGGAAGCCAAGGCAAGGCCCAGCAACACATCCAGTGCTGCTCAGTTCAGGCTCTTCATTGGCAGTGGCCCTAACCTGGAAGGCCAAGGCTAGCTGGATCTCGCCAGATTTTGGAAGGTAAACAGGGTCAGCCATGGTTACTATCTGAATGGGAGACCACCAAGAATGTCCAGGCAGGCCATGGCATACCACCCCCGAATGTCTCTTCTCTTGAAAACCCTACAGGACCACTGCAATTTGACTGTGACTTGACTGCACTTTCCACCACCACCAATGCCTCAAGGGCTACTCAGCTTAGTTCAGTGCTGTTGCCTTCTGTTGATGCGGGTTGTACCTACCATTGGCCACCACAATAGTCTCCCCATTGGGGCTGATGGGGAGACTATTGTGGTGGTCAATGGTAGGTACAACCCACATCAATAATAATAATAATCTTTCAATTTATTGATCGCTCAATCCTTGCAGAGCTGCCGGCTCTGAGCGATTTTACAGTTACTCATGAATTCACACGGGACTAACAATGATGGGGGTAAGGGAGGACAACATATATCTTTTTAATTCACACACATTTTCGCAGTCGATGGGGAGTTTGGTCAGCTGTAAGCTTCAGACATGTTCCAGCAGCATTCTCACTCGACGTTGCTTGATGTCGTCAGCATTTTTCTCAGTCGCAGTGCAGCACTGCCACCATCTGGCTGGAATGGCCCATTACAGGCTACTTTTTTGATGCTGTGTAGATCTCTCTCATCTTTTGATCTTATGCGTGGACCTTCCGCTCATCGGCTAACACCACCCCCACCAGGGGTTTAGTGTGCCTACTCTCTCTAAGGAGTGGTACCCATTTTATCTACTCGCCAAAGCTTTCGAACCGCTGGGTGGATGGCGAGCTGGGGACAAGGCTGGTTGCTCACACCAGTGTGGGGCTAGAACTGACAGCAGTCCTGTTCAGCTCAGATGTTTAACCAGAGAGGATAAATCCCCTGTGCCACCGCTCAAAAAAAGGCAGAACAACTAATTCCAGTTTTGACCCCACCCTCCTCCTTTGCTACAGTGCAGAAGAAGACAGTTATATATACAAGATATTCTAGAAACTTTTCTGCAGTGGTAGAATAGCCATCCTAACTCAACCTTTTTACTAGTGTGTTTGCTGCAACTGTAGAAATGCCTATTGCTAGGGAGAAATCCTGCCACATACTATCTAAGATGGAGGTTCTGTGGCTGGGCCGGAGGGATTTGGGGTTAGGATGTCCACTGTCGTCCCCTGACAATGTGCCTTTAACACCAGTGCTGACTGTCAAGAGTCTGGGTGTGATTTTGGTGGAGGCCCAGGTCTCAAATGTGGCTAGGCAGGCTGTTAAGTCGTGCACTTAACAAAGAGTCGGAGAGTGATTCAGCAAGAATGCGGTTTATTCTTCAGTTCAGTTACTTCTCCGGTACGGTACAACAATCGCCAGCCAGAACCCATTCGAATAAATACACTGGCTTGTCGATATTTAAACACTCCCGGCTATTGTAGCCACACCCACTGTACAATAAGGCAACCTATGAGGTTGAAGCAATAAGGACCAATCAGAAGCGCTCCCGCTTTGCAATGTGATTGGTTAACATATTCTGGGCTAGGGCTCCTATTGGTTACATTAGGATCCTAGCCCAGGGCGAAGCTTAACATGGCATCTCAATGGCACAGTTCACATAGCAGTTCTATACACACTTCAATACATAACAGAAAGTATGTAGACCATTTCTTTTTTATCTCCTTCATCTTTCCATCCCATACCTTATCTTGTTTAATACATTCCAATATATCTGATTGGATATATTCGTATAGATAGTCGTTCCATCTATCTAAAGTCCACTTCAGACTCTCCTTCCAACCATATGCAATCACAGCATGCGCTGCTAGTAACATTGCTTTAAAAATATCCTGATTTACAAGCTGGACAACGTACATGCGCGAACCTACTACCTCGGTAACCGTGGCTGGAAGCCACGAATGTCCCCCTGCGTAGTTCTTTGCAAAGACAGTATCTCCGCATTCGTATGTGCGGACCTTAGTGGAAACACTCTGTTGCAGGGGCCTCAA